CCCCAAAACCCCAAAACCCCAAAACCCCAAAACCCCATTGGGATTAATGAATTATATTTGTCGTATATGAAAATTATAAATTCAAATTCAAAATGTCAAACAGCTAACTTCATATTTAGTTGAATGAACTCCTTAAATGTTCTGAGTGCTTTTGCTCAGTGCTTAGTAAAGATTTCAAATTATCAAAGTGCTGCAATACCTTAATATGTGATTAGTGTATTATTAGCCAAAAAGATGACAAAGAAAATAGCACTTAGACATTGGCTATTTAAGCTAAGAATCTTAATCAGACAGTTTCCTATGACTAATCCTGCTAAAAATGCCACATTTAGAGAGTTAAATATACCAGAAAGAGTTCTTATCATCTTCTCTCAACTTTAGCCAATAGATACTTGCAAGATTAGTAATTGATTTAATAAAAAAATTGCCAAAGATGTGAAGAATAGGATGCCACAGTAAGTTGTAAGCAATGCTAGTTAATTAACTACTGCAATGATTGCTTTGATGTATAACATAAAATGGGAGTATTTACAACACATGAGAAATTATAGCTTATTTAGGAAAACGAAGTTGTTAATGAGATTATGAAATTTACTAAATGCTAGCATCATGATAATCTTTAGCTTGAATTTTACTGCTAAAAATGTGAAGAATTCATCTGTAAATAATGTGTGAGAGAATATCGAAGACATAAATCTCATTAAATTGAAAAAATAGAGTCTCTTCCTTATCAAATATAAACAGAGCAGGCTAAGAAATAAGATATCTTAAGATAAGCCTTGCTGCAATTAAAGAGTAAAAAATCAGAATTAGATCATGCTAAATCAATATAAAAGTAATAAATTGATTAAGTATTTTAGGAAGTTAGAACTTAATTAGAATAATAATAGAAAAATTTAATTAACTAGGTTGATAAATACTACGATTAAAAAAGCAGTAAAGTCAATTTAAACTATCAGGCATTGACAAAGCAGTAACAGTAAAATGACTTTATTACTTAAATATGCTAATTCATTTCAGGTAATGTTTATAAATAGCAGAACAAGATAATAATTAGTAACCTTGAGTAGGCATTTTCAAATGATATCAATTTCGAACAAGACTCTGACACTTTTAACAAGCAAATTAAGCATATTTCCTCTTTTATAGATGAAAACTTATCCAATATGAAGAAGCTAGTCGTTTAGTTTGAATCAAATATCGATCTTAAGTTAGATAGTGAGGAGATCAATCATGATGATTAGCAAAGATTTGATTTCTAACAGATGATTTAAAGAGAGCAGTCGCATGCTAAATTTGACAGCTTATGCAATATATCATAAGTATAAGATTCCGTCTAGAGTCAGAAGAAGTCAGACTACAAGCTGCATTTGGAATCTTCAATGGTTATAACAGAAAATCAGGAATCCAAGATCCTTAGAGAAAGTAATATGCACTCGTAGCAGAAGATTAACTAAACTTACTGCGCCATTGATAAGGGTGATTTAATAAAGTCAGAAGCAGAGAATGATGAGGATTCAATTTATAAGCCTTAAAATTCAAAGGTTATTCAGACATAAAGAGATATCAGAGCGTCAGCTGGGAATCTATTCTCAAACTCTCTAAAGAATAAGAGCATTCTTAACAGATAAAGCTCTAGCCAGACCAGTAATAGCTCTATGAATGTAAATGCCTAATTAAAGAACTAGAATTCAAAAAAGTTAGTTACGAATATTAGCTCAAATTAACCACTCGAGACCTCAATAAATATTGTCAACAATCTCAACTTTTCAACTCATCTAGAAAAGGTGACAAGCATACAAGTTTCTTAAAGAGGTTCAGTTAAAAACTTCTCAAATTAGAGCAACCTAAATAACTCTGGTACTTTCTAGGGATCTGCCTCATCCAGATAAAACAGCTCTATGAGAAACAAGCTTAGCAATTTCGCTTCAAATTCTACAGCTACTCCTGCTACTCAAAGAAATTAAAACATCAATGACTATCTGTCTCAGCCAAATTACTCGAGCAATCCTAATCAATCTATTGATCAAAGACATTAGAGTTCTCAAAGCTCAGTTCGTAGAAGCAGAGGAGAGGTGGGAATGAGTCAAAGCAGAAGACTAGCCTCATAAGCAGATAAGGAGGCTGAGGAGTAAGCAAGGGTTGAGAAGGAATAAATGGAAGTTTTGAACAAAGATCCTCTAAGTGTTAGGAAGTTCACTAATATTTGTGTCACATCGAATGCCATTTAAGTTTCATGGAATCATCCTAATTAATTGATGAAAGACAAGAAGGCTTTACTTTATGAACTTCAGTATGGAATTGGAAATAAGGTGAATAATAAGGAATAGTTCAGAAAGATCTACCAAGGCAAAGCTCACAGATGCATCATCACAGATTTGAATTCAAAGACAAATTACAGATTTAGAGTGGCACCTATCATTTAGAAGACTAAAGAGGAAGGAGGTAATTAAGTAGGAGTGTGGAGTGAGCCTATTACTGTCCAAACTAAGGATATTCAGAACTTCGACCCAAACACGTTTGGGAATTGCGCCTAGCTAATAAGTAAAAATCCAACTTAATCTTCTGGATAAAGCGCCACCTTCCAAGAGAGACTGATAAATTTTACTCAAGCTGGTACCATAGCCTCGATCTATGGCTATTCATTCGGTGAGCATTTGTGGTCATTCAGAATTAAGTTTGAAGAATAGCTGAACCTGGCTAACTCAGATCTTTCAGGAATTATGATAGTGGGAGTTATCAATAAAAAGTCATCAGTTGTCAGTAACAAACTTTATGGAGGCATAGTAAACTACACTCTTCAAGGAGGAGATATTTTGGTTAAAGTCTATCTAGATGCCAACAAGAGAACAATGACAATATTTACAAGTTCAAAGCCTGAGGGCGAAGTCTTCACTGATTTGCCAAAAGATGGCCTGTTTTATCCAGCCATTCAAAATAAGACTCAGAAATTCTCCAAAAATGCTAAGCTCTATGTGGGATATAAATTTGATTTGCCCATTCCAAGTGATAAGCAAAAGATTAAACTAGATGACATTCCAGAAAATCAGGAATTCTTAGGAAGCAACTTTTTGGAATAGATCAATGAAATACCCTGTTAAAAAGTAGAAGTCAGTTGAATTCAATATCATATTATCTATATATTTTCGTTATGATGATTAATAATTCTTTGAAAATTTACAGAATATATATTTCGGGGTTTTGGGGTTTTGGGGG